ATAGTAAATATTATTTTAGCCCCCATATAGTTTTACTGACCCAGGATGACCAAGGACTGATGTATTATTCAGCATGTTTGAGTAGAGGAGGACTCAGCCTTCAGTTGCAGAAGAACATGCAAAAATGTTCTGATATAAGTTTAACATTCAATTAAGAAAGATAAAGTTCAGAATTTTGACTTGTTAAGTTTGCATCTTTATTCTGGTAAATAAATAATTCCTTATTTACTTTTCAGTAGATTTAACAATTTCCCTAACCTCAGTTATGTTCCACTTTACTCAATTATTAAGTTACATTACCTTGTTATTCTACTGGTACTGTGGATGTGCACAGTACAGTGCGTGCTATTCTTTTTAAGGAGAATGGGACCCTAATTTCTGTTTTCTTTCAAAATTGATGAACCGTTACCATATTTTTTGTCCTTCTCTAAATGTCTGGTTTTGTCTTATTTTTTTCTGTTTTTCCTATTTTTTTCCTTTTTTTCCCCAAGATTATTTGAAAATTACTTTTTGAAGTGCCGTTAAATTGATGAAACATTTAAGATTTATCTTGTGCCTCTGTGTGTATGGTTTTCCTGACTTTTATACATGCTAACAGCTATCCCTGGAAAAATCTGGCATTTTATGATCCAGGATTTTTTCAATCTAATTTTTTTTGTCCATAATTTTGACCATCTTGAATAAAATATCCTGAAAAAAAAATTACCCTCCTAATCATCCTGTAATTAATTACCTTTTTTATAAGCAACAGCTTTCTTTGAAATATGATGCAGGTACCAAAATTATTACTTACTAAATTGCCAGTTGTTGGTGGAATGAATTGCATGTTATATTTTTTTTTTAACTTGGATGTTGTTTTTAAAAACTAGTAGAAGTTTCTTTATAGTCTGAAAGGCAAATTTTTATGAATAGACAAAGTAATGGTGGAATAAGACAACTACAGGAACTAAAAAGTGCACGTAAAGACACGAGTGTAAGAAGAGTATGATTGTTTGAGTCTTGACAGGGAGAGGAAAGAGCAAAAAAGTTGACGAAACACAGGATTAAAAAGGGTCAAGTGTCACGGAAGATTTTAGCAGTGATTACTCAAAATTTGCGCTGTGCAATGTCAGAAGAACACCTAGGCAGAAAAAGGCAGAACAGGAAATTCTTAAGTGTAGTCAGTTTGGGTGTAAAAATACAAAGGCTTTGACTTTGACATTGCATAAATTGAAGGGTAATTCTGAAATTTAGAAGCACACACTCTAAGTAGCTTTAGCAAAGGTATTTTTAAAGAATAATAAAATTTTAAAGTAGTTCTGATTTCCCTACAAGGGAAGAAATATTTAAAACCATACCAAAAGAAAACAAGAATTTCAAAAAACACCCAAAATCCAAACAGAAATAAAAGCAACCCAAATACAGAAAGCCAGGCAATTTAGTTGCACCTAAAATTTCTTCAGCCTTATTCTGTTGCTTGTTCTTTGGAAAGTTAGTAGAAAATAGGTTGAGGAGCCAAGGCATAGTATAATTTTATCAATTAAATTACAACAATTTGTAGATTGTTCTAGATCAGCTCATGCAGGTTATGAAAGGGATAAAACCCTGATGAACATGACACAGTTACACCGTACTGATAATGTCTGGTAGTTGGGTTCTGCTAAATTGTCCTTTATGACTACTGCTTCAGTAAATTTTAAAGCATGCAAGTGAATTGGAATCAGTTTTAACATGACAAAGGCAACAGATGTGCTTGGAAAAACAGAGGGCTCATTTACAGTCTGTCAGACTCTGGATTACTGGCAAAGAGCAAGGATTTTAGGTTTGTTTTTTTTTTGTTTGATTTGATTTTATATTTTAATGATGGGAAATGGCAATTCAGCTGACAAAGCTAATAGTGAGTTTCCTGTTACCAAGTGGATTTGCATCATAAAAAAAAAAGGAAAAAAATTAAAAAAAAAAAAAAGAAAAGAAAAGAAAAAGAAAGATACACACATGAGTGCAATCTGAAAATATTTTTCACTGTTAGATGTGCTTAGGTCATTTGGAGATACCAATTAAACTCTGTCCTCGGAGACATCATAAACCAGCCATGGAAATCGTCATGTGAAAGCCTTCAATGATTGTCTCAGTTTAATTGAGACAAGGGTCCTTTGCTGAGGATGGATTAGGAGAAAAAGACCCAAACCTTTTTTCTAGCAATTATAGATTCGAAATTAAGAGACTCCGATTGAAGGAAAGCAAATTATGGAAAAGGGAAAAAAGGAAAAATAACAGCCCTTTATTAAGTATGTGTGTATTAACGTAACACGAGGGAAAAAAAGGAAGGGAAAAGAAACCAAGTAAAACAACCAAACAATACCCTTATACCT